GGTCCGCATCCATACGAACGCAATCATCAGATCCTGGATACAAACCACTCTGGTGTGGTATGCTAACTCGACCAACAAATACAGCACACTTCTGGTACCGTTCTGCGCAAAAGACCTTCGTTGGCAACTCGAGGATCAACGATCACTTCCTGTTCCGCCAATTTCCTTCGTCCTACAACCGCACATCTGCCGATCAGTCCCACGAATCAAACCGCTAACTATCGAAAGTGTAAACCCTTTCTAGCGGGGGGCTCCTGTAGTGACCTACTTTTGTCAACAGAACACGATTGGTTCGATGAAAACAATTATTATTATAACCAATTGTACCAGTGACTGTTTTACTGTGCTCGTTTGTTTAACTGTGCTAATAACAGCCATTTTGGGCTTCCATTGTATTCCATTGCTTTTACGCGGTTTTTGGACTACGCACGTATCTTATCTTGCCGATCGCAACTGTACTCCTTTGGCACGATCTCGGTATTCTTTCGATACCACGAGATCGCCAACAAATATATACGACTACTACAATCATCTGCCTTCTGATATTTTGGCCTATCGGAATTTTATTGGTCTATTGGCAAGTAGTCTGGTAGCGGTGTTCATAGTTCAGCTCAACTCGACACCACGCTACAAGTACTTCATACGGGTGTTGTAGTAGACGTCTTACGGAGTCGACACGAACAAGTACAAATTCACACGTATCTAGGTGCTTGCTAACTTGCTCTTTTAAGACAGCTGGTCGCGGTGCAAATATTATTCATATGGCTCATTAGTTTTTCGCAAAAAGAAGTGGGATCTGTACATACGGGTTTGCAACTGTGTCACTAGCTGACCAGGTAATGTTAGATTAGTTCCATAGACGAGCTGTGCAGGAGTACATTGGAGGTCTTCTTTAATTGTGGAACGTATGCTTAGTAAAATAAGTGGTAGGGATTCGCTCCATCTAAAAACATCAGGTCGTACGATCATTGAGCCTTTTAGTTGTCTGTAAATCGTTCCACTAGTCCATTCGCTGCTGGATGGTATGCTGTTGTAGTGATGTGATGAATTCCCAAAATGCATGTATATTCGTTGAAGGGGTGAGATTGGAACTGCGAACCTCTTTCAGAAGTTATTGTGCAAAGTACACCAAAATTGGCGATCCATCTGTCGAGAAATACGGCAGCAACATTTTCTGCGGAGATGCCTTTTATTGGGCAAGCAATTGGCCATCTGGTAAAACGGTCTACTGTAGTAAAGATGTAGGTAAATCCGTTAGATGGGGCTAAACGACCGACAAGATCAACATGAACATGTTGAAAACGATGGTTGGGTAGACTAAATGTCGACGGCGTTGTAATTGTATGTCTGTGAATTTTGCTGCGCTGGCATTGTAAACAATTTCCAGTCCATTGTTTTATATTTGCATTCATTTTTGGCCAAACAAATCTTTCCGAAATCAGTTTCACAGTTGCGCAAATTCCTGGATGAGATAGAGAATGAAGACAATCGAAAACTCTTTTTCTGTACGCTATTGGCACAAAAGGTCTGTGTATTCCGGTCGAAGTATCACAAATGATAGTAGAGTCAGAATGCGGTACAGGAACACTTTTTAACGACAGGCTCGAAACTTGTTTACAAGCTTCAAGGTCAGGATCATCTATTTGCAGACGTTACATCACTGATAAATCGATTCCTTTGGTGAAGGAAATTGCATCGACATTGAAACGTGACAGAGTATCTGCAACAACATTTGATTCTTCTTTTATAAACTGTATGTTGGTTGAAAATTGGGAAATATAGTCTAATTGTCGCGTTTCTCTAGGGGAATATCGGTCACTTTTAGCGTTGAAAGCATAGGTTAAAGGTTTGTGATCCGTGAGTATCACAAAATCTCTGCCTTGAAGTAAGTGGTTAAAATGTTTAACAGCCAGATAAATAGCCAATAGTTCCCTACCAAAAGTACTATAGTGCATTTGGGTTGGTTCTAGCTACTTTTAAAAGAAAGCCAGCGGATTGATCTCATTATTCACTCGGTGTTGTAGTACTGCACCTACTGCTGCCTGGGATGCATCTGTACACAAGATTAATGTTGCTTCCGGATCAGGGTTTGGGTAGGTAGGCATGGTAGTAGCAGCGATTGCTGTTTTAGCCGAAGAAAAAGCATCTTTCGCTTAAGAGGGCAATGTGAACTTTTTGGCTTTACCTTTTAACACCTCCGTCAAAGGTTGTAGTATGGCTGAGCAATGTGGAATAAAGCGACGATAAAAATTGATCATCTCTAAAAAACGTCGAAGTTTATTCAATGAATCGGGTTCTGGAAAGTTCTTGATGGCTTCTATTTTTGTATCCAACGGTTTAATTCCATGTTTGTCGATCACGTGACCTAAAACTCTAAACTCTCAACCCCAAAAACACATTCGGATGGGTTAATAACTATGCCATATTGCTGAAATCTTTCGAGTAATTTATGTAGGTGATCAATGTGTTCGTGAAACGACTTGCTAGCTATCAATACATCATCAATATACACGTAAACGAAATCTAGGCCTTTAGTGACCTCATCCATAAATCGTTGAAAAGTTTGTGCGGCGTTCTTTAATCCAAATGGCATTCTCAGGAGTTCAAACAAACCAAATGGAGTAATGATGGCTGTTTTTGCTATGTCCTCGTGTGCTACTGGGATTTGATGGTACGCTCGTACAAGGTCGATTTTAGAAAAAAAATGTTTGCCGTGTAAAGTGAGCGAAAAATCATGTAAATGAGGGATTGGGTAACGGTCCGGTAACCTTTAGTTATTTAATGACCTATAATCACCACAGGGTCGCCAATCTTGATCCCGCTTAGGCACCATATGGAGTGGGGATGCCCATGGGCTACTTGGCGGACGTATTATACCTAATTGCATCATGTGGTCGAATTCAGCCGTTGCAACCTTCGGTTTGTCCGGTGGTAATCGGCGTGGACGTGCCGATGTTGGTTGGCCTTTCGTGATGATCCGATGTTCTACAGAATATTGAACCGTGTTTTCACTGTAGTCCGGTTTCGTTATTTTGCAAAATTCAGATAAAATAGTCGCGAATATGTGGTTTCTTGGAGTGTCAATTTTAATACTATGTATGTGGTAGTCTGACTGAATTCCCAGGAATTGAAATTCGGTGCAGGAATCAATAAGTTTTCTTCTTTTTACGTCAAGTAATAGGTTATAGGAGCTTAAAAAATCTGCACCTAGTATAGATTGGCGGACGTCAGCAATAATAAACACCCGGGTTAAATGACGTCTAATTCCCAAGTCTAATGTTAGAATTTGTTTGTCGAATGTATTTAGTTCCGTCTTATTAGACGCCCTTAGGGTATATTTTCCACTCTTAGCAACGGGTTTGTTGGCTAAGGTAACTGGAATGACACTGATTTCGGCTCCAGTATCTACTAAGAATTTGTATCCTGAAGTTTTATCAAAGACTTGGAAAAGACGAGTTTGAGGATGATCTGAAACATTTGTTGCTACCAAGGTTTGGTTGAAACTTTTTGTTGAGGAAAATGACTTGAAAAGTTTACAAGACCTAACACATTTCCTAGCTTTGTCACCAAATTTTTTATGGTACCAACAAATTCCAACCGTATGCGCGGGTGACTTTGAGCCATGTCCAGACCTGTATCTTTTTCTCAGTGTTGGTCTGGTGTGGTGAGATTTAATCGTTGCAATAGAAGCTTTCAGTGACTGTAGTTGACTTGTCAAGTGTGCTAATTGTCTTTCGAAAGAGACTAAACAACTGGTATTTACTGTTCTCGGTGGTCGCCGTATCATTAAAAAATGGCTGTCATGATAAACTTCCGTCATTTTATCTGCCATATCCGCCAGTTCGTCTAGGGTGACAGAATCGCCTGATACACTAAGGATTTGTCTAACATTATGTGGCAACCGTTGAAACCACATTTGTTTCAGCAAGGCTTCGTCTAGTTTTTACGGGCCCGTTAGTTGTTTCATATGCTGTAACAAATGTGATGTCTTCCTGTCACCTAATTCGCATGCTGTGAGGAGTTACTGAAGCCTTTTTTCATCAGATACTGTTGTGCATTGTATAACAGCGGCCTTAATTTTTTCGTAAGGGACGGTTTCTGGTACTTGGTCAATTAAGTCTCCGACTTCAGCGGCGATTTCTATGGGAGGTGCTCCGACTACATAGGCATATTTAGTCGCCTGAAAGCGTATGCCTCTCGCTAGAAATAAGGCTTCTACTTGTGCGAACCAGATTCTGGGGTTGTTGGCACCGTATACCGGTAGTCTGAACTCGGAAATGGCATTGACTGAACTAAAGGTATTATCGTCTACATGTGATAAGTTGAGGGGATTCATTGAGGAACATTCAATATCGATAAGTTTATTCGGAGAGTACATGATGTGAAACAAAAAAACTACTGTTTTAAGTAAAAAAATAAAAATATAAACGATATAACTATTACAATGCACTCGAGGCTCACCAGATTTGTAGTGAACCCCAGCAAATACAGATTATTGGATATACATCTACACACTAATTTAATAATAATATACCATAAAAAGTTAACATTAAAAATCTTAAGTGTCTGTTTACGAGTAAAACCAAAGTTAACAGTTTAGTTATAATACAAATGGTATATTATTGAGCAATATGATAATAACAATTATTAAGGAATGAATGTTACTTGAAGGCTGCTCTCTGGGATGACAACTACAAATATATCCACTTGATTAATGTAGATTCCCCTGTGAATGATGGCACTGACGGTGTGACGAGAAAGACAGAGTCCAATAGTATTATGTAATAGTAATCCAGGCCAAAATACCAACGTAGCGTAGGAAGGCCTAAAAGGATATTATAACACTATTATAGTCTTCGGTCAAAGGCCGTGGCCAATAAAGCAGAAGGGCAGACGACGTAGATAACGTGCTATATTTCAATCAGCGCGGTAGTAAAAGTGTATTCAATTTTCCAAAACAATTATCATCGTTTTTTTAAATAGGTGATACAGAAAAACAACAGATATTGAATAAAATGTGGTTACAAAAAATCACGGAATATACGTCACCATAATAGAAGGACATTTCCCTACATCTAAAGTCACCACAGAAGCTTATGACTAACGATATTATTTGATCAGCATGTAAAACCTTAAACAAGATTAAAGAGTGACTTTAGATATGTCCACTTACTTTTCAGAAAATGGGTATTCACTAATAATAAGTTTGAATAAGATCACTAGGTAAAGTCTGTATGAAATCTCTCTGTCAACGTATAAAATCTATCAATGTAATCAGGAGAATAGCCATCAGGCCTTGCAATATTCAGCTCGTTGGTCGAACAGTCTAATGACTAGCTAAACATATTTCTGGGTGGTGCATTAGTTACAATACTTCTGGTCTGATCGATGTATGAAGCAGCCAAATGCATTCAACTTGGACAAATATCTTAAACGGACTGTCAAGTGCTTTTTGCATTTTATTCTTTCGAAAAGACACTTATTGAGCTACATCCTGTTTTGGTGTGTTTTTTAGTACTAGACAAGTTCTGCTCTCTTTTGTATTTTAAGACCTCAAGACCATACATGATTTTAAATATCATTTTAGGCCTTGAAATTATACAAATTATTTCGGAAATGTCTAGGGAAAATTCTCCATATATTCAAATTGAAAGAACACTCTTAATTATTAAGCCGGATATTATTAATTATGCAGATAAAATAGAAGAGTTTATCTTACAAAAAGGATTCTTGATAATACAGGTAACTATCGATTCCTCAGAATGCATAACAAAAATTAATGCATTTGATAGAAAAGACGCGTTCATTTGACACCAGAACAAGCAAGCGAATTTTATGCAGAACATTACGGGAAAATATTTTATGCAACATTAATTGCCTACATTAGCAGTGGTCCGATAGAAGTACTAGTCATAGCTAGAGAAAATGCTATATCTATTCTCCGTGAATTAATTGGTCCACAAAATGCATTTAGAGCTAAGGCGACCGCACCTGCAAGGTAAACTTACTAACATTCTTATTGAATATTTCTTGTATAGTTTAAGAGCTATTTATGGTACAGATGATCAACAGAATGGAATACATGGAAGCGACTCGTTTACAAGTGCTGAAAGAGAAATCAGATTCTTCTTCCCAGATAGTAAGTGGCGTGAATGAAGTTTTGTACTTCTTTCTCACAAATCTCATCAAACCTACCATACTACTAATAATCATATTCTTACTGAAACTAACTTTGGGGTAATTTTTCAGAGATCCAGTGAGAATCTATGACCGATGGAATTGAACCATGTCGACCACGAGATAAGCACCATTGATTACGGTGGATGATAGTCACTCAATATGGGAGAGTGACTTGAGTTGAAAACATAAACCCTCGATGGCAGTTCAGTAATTTGAAGTTTGAGCGATTCTGACGAGAACTGGAGTTTTTAGGTTTGAGCTCTGCTAGGATCGTTTAGGGAAGCTGACGAGGAGTCTCACATTAGAACAAAACGCCGCACTAGTACTTCCTGATTTTTAACAGCTTCCCAGCTAAATCTGGTACCTGATATAAAATATAAACTATTTTTTACTGTATGCTTATGATAGTGGAAAGTATGATTACGTGGCGCCAAAGAATCACTCCGAAATCAACTTTGCCCTAAAATTGACGTAAGCCTATTAGTTTTTGTTTACATTTCAACATGTGTCTGGCCCATCCACTTTTACAGTAAGAGAAATGGTTAGGAAGTGCATTTGTAAGGTAAAGCTTGGTTTAAGATAACTCAAATTAGCTTTAAAACAACAAAGGGTTGATGACAATATGTTTTGAATGGTAAAAGTTGACCGAGCTTGTCAACAGGAAACTGAAGATATATTGATGCATCCTGGTTTTTATCCATCATAACAGTTCCAAATATCTCGAATAGAAAATTTGTGAAAATTATATGATGAATTAGCACACTGATTCACGATTTCCAGACTTCAAGACGGTTCTCTGAGTGTAAAATAAAATCCTGACGTGGAACCCAAATGTTGTTATAAAAATTCATTTTCTCTTCTAGCATATGCACATCAATAAACTCATTTGAAGTTAATAGAATCCATAAAGCTGTCTACGAAATCCGATACTAAGCGCCAAACCTACCTTCGGTAGCTTACATCAGTACTTCACAGATGACCAAGTCACCCGAATAAGTAATACAACCAACATACCCAAAGATTTCACCACCCCCATTTTTTGAACTAGATTTCAGTGTGAAACCATTATCTTACTGTTAGCTTATATGAAAATACGGGATCTAATCCACCTAAAATATGGGAACAGGATGCTTTACGAAGGGTACTTTCAAGAATACAGAGGGTAGATTGACTAATCAAAATAATGCAAACTTAAAATATATGTTTAAACAAAGTTTTCATGCTTTTAAAATTGCGTGGTTATTTTTTTCGCACAATGTAATGTTCCTATTATTAAAATTACTCATTCATTTAGTGATCGTTGCACCGGTTCCCGTAAGACTTGCAGCAAAAGATTATTTAGTTCGGAATGTAAACCCAACTTTACTAAAAGGTTTGACAGAACTGTGCAAACAAAAACCTAAGGATCCAGTAGTAAGTTGACTTATTGATTTTTTCAAAAATATTTTCGAACTCACGTAATAGTATGTAATAAATACAGGATTATATAGTTCTCATGGTTTTAGATGAACCTGGACTGTTTATGTTAAAAGCTTTGATTTCTTACCGTTGGTTTACTAGACTGAGTTAATTAATCACTGAAACATTTTTGAATATCGAATTTTATTGGTTTGGAAGTTTGCTTTTATTCTAGTATAGACTTAATAAACACTAGAATGAAGTATGTACCTAGTAAATGGGTTCTAAATACTGTAGAATTTAAATCCTTAGTTCCAACAATGACCACAATTAAAATAAAAGTTCGGATAAAATAATAGTAGTACTCGTAGTGGTAAATTTGAATTTGGAATGTAAAGCAAACTGATACTGCCACAGTTACATTGGATGTGATACTCTCATTTTGTAGGTAAAAAACGATTTCGCGTTTAAAACTACGACAGTGTAAAGAAACAGAAGATGACGTAAAGCTTTTTTTGTTTACAAATTAGGCATTCAGTAATATCACATTGTTCTTTGATATTATTGTGATCGACGAGGCCGTTAAGTCGCCAAAAACAATTCACGGATAAGATTATCTTATTGCTATTAAGTTTTACATGTATATGAAACTTCAATGATCTTTTAGGTGCTCAGTTAAATGGTAAGTTGATGAGCTACTGGGATGCCATATTTTGTTTAGACGCATGGTGACGTCCTTTATCTGTGCATTGATGTTTCAGTGTAATTAGATTTCGACAAATCGGGCGACTTTTTACTTGCATAATGATTTTATGCTTGTGAATAGCTCAATGACATGTACCTGATTCATTACTAAGAGAATAAAATAAAAACACAGCTCTCCGCAAAGCTCACTAATTTCACGTGGAATCTCAGTAAAATATTCCCGTCTACCTACAATTTTGTAAGTTAAAATATCTCAGTGATAAGGATATATTAAATTGCTCTAAACATTATTCAACTGGGTTCCTTTCATCAGCTCCCCAATTACCATATAACTGTGATCGGTACCCTATACTATTTCGATCATGTTGTTCAAATAAATTAAATTTCAGTTATCGATTGGGATTGATTTTAACGCTGTTAAGCCACTGAAGATAGATGTTCCTTTCATAAAAATTGAGTATTATTACTTAACGTCTCCTTAATCTTCATGTACATAAAAAACTTGAGACTTTTAACACTTGACATTGAATGGTTTTTATTGATAACAAATGCTTGTGTTTGATTTTCTCCTTGCCTAGCTTTGGCTGGCCGACTGGCTGCTGGAAAATAATCCAAATAAACCTCATCCCATCGATATGGTCACCTCTTGAAACACTAATAAGAAAAATTTAAAGAACGTATGAGGGATTATGAGAATGCAGTTTTCAAACGAACCTATAGTCATATCTGAAAATAAATATGTACTTCACTTTGTTATATTTCGTCATAGTAATAGATGTGAAGCGGTAGTGAGTTACAGTCCAGCGTGACGAATTCCGTGTTACCTGTAATGTATTTACGAACTGACCACTGAGTGAAAGCACATCAATGGTGTTTAATTTATATAGGAGTACCAGTACTTGAATACTTTGTAATCATCAAGTAAACAGGTTACCAAAACACTATAACTTGCTAACATGTTCGAAAGTGTACATCTATGAATATAGTTAAACCACTTATAAGCATTTCGAAATTTTACCTTAAATCGATTTTAATGTAGCTGAAAAATTCAGTGGCATTTCCAGTCTTACTATGAACTAGTTCAACGGATATACTTGGGGTTATGAGACACTATTTCATACTGACTTTTTAAAAAATAGTTTAAGAGGGGATTCGCTCTCTTGCCCATATAATCAAACTTTTATTATTAATTGAAATCATAAATTCGTGTGGAATCACTGCTAAGCGTACCTTACCATGCGACTGACAAACGTTTTGTAGGATTCCTGGAACCACTTCACTAAAGATGTTGCAAAACAATGCGAAAGATAATTGTCACAATGTCAGTAAAGTGGAGAATTAGAAAGTTGATGGGAAATTTATGGTATCATTCGATGTGTCAGCATTACTCCCGAATGTACCCTTAGTGGGAACAGGAGATTATACATCCATAGAATAACTGATAGTACTGAATATATTTTATGATACAGAAATTTCCGGATATGTCTAAAACGTACTCTAGTAGCTACGAACAGACCAGTGGTCGTAGATAGAAGATTGTGAACGCACGTGAAGGCAGTACACTAGAGTTACAATAAAGCGCACAATTATGAACAAATCATTTGTCATTTTATATATTAAAAAAATCACATTTACAATAGCTTAAGTAGAATTCTAAGCTATTGTACTTCACTTAACAAAGGGTTCGAATATTTACTGAATATATACCATACTTCGTATTGGGTGAGGCTACTGCGTTATCTAGGATAGATTATTTTTATTATAGGCAAATAGGATTGGAACGAAATTAGCTGGATCCTCGAAACTCATTTGACTGGTGTGGTTGTTATGTACATTTGGACAATCCATATTCACTGTGCGAATGAGGAATTTGGCAATATTCTTTAGTAAACGTCTCAAGGATGGTCGAAAATTATTTCTTTGATAGCAAACTGTAAGTACTCCACGTTCGAACAAACATATCTTCCATCAAGCAATTTTGCCGGTTTCATCAGTACGAGAAGGTATAACACATATTTATGAGCTGGAAAAGTTCATCCATTCGCCTTTTCAGTTCGTTGAGTTTTTTGGCACGAATAGAACTGGTTGAAGTTTTCAGGGATTAGACGAACTTTTTTATTTAAACATAAAAATAGAGATGTCTCGAAGCGAACAAATCTTTGCACTCCCACTAATCAAGTTTCTAGGTAACTTATCTGAAATGTTTTCAGTCAATAAAGTTGCACTTTAAGTATTCTTAAAATATGTAAGCCAAGTACAGATTCGTACTATAGGTTGTTGCAGAGATAGTTGGATTTCAGCGATCTCAACAGAAACTAATCTCAGATAGGCGACCAATAACGACCAGAGAGTGATCAACATATATAGACCATAATCACTTACTGAAATTTTACAGGTCATAGTTGAATAATTATCATGTTGATCTGAGAAATACAACCCCCACAGATAGGAAGTTTACGTCCCGTAATACTTGACATAAAAACCTAATTATGTTCTATCAAAAGATTTGAATTTATTAAATCATTTCAATGAAATAGTGGATTCGATACTGCCAATGTCTAAGATAAAATAAACGCATATCATTATTTTTGAATGTGAAATGAATTACTTGGTCGTAAATAAAAAAATATGTATTTATTCTCCATTAATATCAAGATTAATAGTTAAATATAAATAAGGAGGTTTATTATAACAAGTAGTGAAGTGAGTACTGATGCGATAAATAGATCCATCTTGCCAAATTTGAAGAGTTTGGCATTACCAGATGAGTATGATTTCAGCGAGTCTACATTATAACAATTTGTCAAGCCCGTAGCCACATTTACGTACTGCTTTTCAATTCGTTGAATTAATACTATTATTTTTACGAGAACCAGAATTAGTATTAATCAAATGGGAATTATACAACAGTTATGACCTTGATTTGTCTACCCACTTTTTGGTGCCGAGGGTACTTGTCTAATCTAGATTTCGACCTTGATGCGATAGGCTGATCAGCTTAACCTTGAGACTAGTACGCGTGAGTTCTAGATGGGGTAGAGAGAAGAAAACTATTCTGTCACCTGATTGGTGGGCAAGCACACGAATGAGAGAAGACAAGACAACTGGAACACTACTCGATCTATTTCCCTGACCACTGAACTCACTGGATTTACTGAATTCACTGAATTCAGATTAGTGTAAAAAGGTACATGAATAAATAAGTGAATAACCCGACCGCAACGTACAATAATTAGGAAAAATACAATTATGTCCAAAGCTGGGAATTAGAGTAGAAAATAGGGTGCAAAATAATATGTTTAAATTACAATAGCTTCGGAACAGAAAAAGGTATGGCAGTGAATGATACATCGAACGAAAGCTTATGTTCTGTAGAATAGATTAGGGACAAAAATAAATGTCAGTATTTTACAAGCTTTGAATAAAATGAAATAACGTTCCGAAAAATAGCCTTCGTAGTTTGTCAGGGCTTCTTGTTTCCCGGTTCACATCATCTTCCCCCTTGACAAAAAAAAGTGTTATAACTGCCATTCAACTGAGTGCATAAGTGAAAACGGTTTACGTTGCGATCCGTGTAAGCGTGACTAATTTGACCAACTGGAATAAATAAAAAAAAAGAAAAATGATTAGTCACTATTTACAAGTAATAGTTAAGATATCATCATTGATATCTCCCCTCAGAAACGTATGCTCTTTTCTTTGGGTCCACTTGTAGAACATCTGGTCTTCTGCGTTTTCGTAACGATCTCCTAATAGGATCTTGTTCCGGATGCACAGTTTTGTGAGTCGTTGAACTTTTAATATCGAAACTGTCCAAGAAGATTTGCCACATTGAACTCAGTTTCTCGGTTTTCTGTGCAGTACCAGAATTTTCCAGTATGTGGTTAACATGACGTGTCCACTTTTGACCTTCAACTTCCACCACATACATTACATTTCCCCGTCTCTTAAGTATGCGTCCACTGGTCCATTGTGGAGGTGAGTATCTGAAATCACGGACGTATACTGTTTGGTTGTTTTGGAAGATTCTATTTTTCGCCCCATGATGGCGATTAAATTGGATTTCCATCTTTCGGTTTCTCGTTCCTATGAGATTTCGCTCTGGTTTTATTGCATCGAGAGCAGTTTTAACTTTTCTGCCAAACATAATTTCTGCTGGAGACATTTGATTTGGTGCTGACGGGTTTGGAGTTGTTCTGTAGACAAATAGAAAATCATTAAGAATTTCCTTTATCTTCCCCTCCCCTTTTGCCTTCAGTAGCGCTCTCTTGAAGGTATCCACAAACCTTTCGGCTTGACCATTCGATTGTGGATGATATGGAGGTGAACGAACATGATTGACTCCAAATCTCTTGCAGAAATCTGAGAAGATGGACGAAGTAAACTGAGTGCCGTTATCCGACACAAGGATATTTGGGACTCCAAAACGGGAGA